TGTCTGGCCAGTGTGAGGACTGTAAGCCAAATTATTTGAAATCATCCCTCTGCTAAATAATTACGGGTTTGTTTTCCTGCAGTGAAAAATACATAGGGATTCCTCTTATCTCCATTGACTGCCCCATCAGGGGATAAACCGCTGAACTGATGGTGTAACACCGTAAATGGTTGTTTCCAGAGCCCAAGCCATCCAAGGCGCCGCCGCGGACGCCGCTGAGGCCGGTGATAATCACGCGCGACGCGGTGCAGAAGGCGGTGTTCGGCGCCGGCTACCCCGCCATCCCCTCGCTCACTATCGAGGAGTTCTACGACCAGCGCGTGCGGGACGGCATGTCAGTACGATTGATACAACATTCATGGATAAAGCCCGGTCTGTGAGCACGTAGAATTTTGTCCAATGACCCCAAGCTACGCATCCTTATCGCTCGCGCGTAATTATGTTGCTGTCGCGCTCGCACACTCACTGCGGGCGCCCGTCGCACAGTCGCGACATCAATATAATTACGCGCGAGCGATAAGGATGGGTAGCTTGGGGTCAATGGACAAAATTCTACGTGCTCGCAAACCAGACTATAGACGAAACCATTGTCGCACAATACAACAACAATTTTATTATGCCGATATTGCCAATAATATTAGCCTATATTGTCATAGGACTATTGCGATCAGCGATTACGGTCTAATCCTGCCTTGTCATGCATAAAAAAAACTACTTTGGACATTTGAGGGTCGGTGTTAGATCCCTGCTGACCGGTAGAACACAAGCCTAGCTTACTTGAAGAGAGATATTTTTTTAATACTTGTTATAAAATACAACAAGTAAAACCTTAATTGTAAAATCATTTGCTTTAAAAAAAACAAAAGAAAATAGATAAATTCAAACTTAACAGCATATTTATTTCATTGCAGATTCCCAGGCGGCACAAATATCCCGCACCAAACCATACAAAGCACAGAAACAGACGGCGATGAGGAAGAAAGAATTCGCAAGGTTTGTCTACTCTGTGAAAATTTCATTAATCTGTAAAGTTGTAATTTAATATGATGACGGTACAGTCCCTCATTAATTCTCGCTGACTGTACAATAAGGCACAGAAAACACGGTGAAACGCAATGAGACCACACATGACGCGATCATTTCAAACCGGTTTCAAACTGGTCCCGTCATGTGTGGTCTTTCAACGGAATCTATGGCAGAAACTTAGATGCAACTCAAAAGTAACTGGAAGTTGCAGTTTCGTTGCAATTGCGTTTCACCGTGTGTTCTGGGCCTAATACATAATGCTACACAAGGTGACAAGGGCATCTAGCCCAGGCATCGGCACTAGGTGAAGCTGAAAACCAGCTTTTCAGCCAGTGCCAGTCTTCTGCCAAGTACTACATCTCGGCACCTATTCCAAAAGTGTATAGTCTGATGTGCTGTTGTCTACAACAGGGTTTCCCAATTTTTTTTTGCCAAGGAACCCTAATTGATTATACTTTTCCTAGCGGAACCCCCGTACTACTCCGCCCGCACGCCCTGCCCCTCCCTTGTGCGTAAACAAGTCGGTGCGAGCGAACAACGTCGGTCACGAAACGGGGGATAATATTTTTTACGGAACCCTTGCGGCCTTTCCACGGAACCCCAGGGTTCCGGTGACCACCTTTCGGGAACCGCTGGTCTACAATTTCAATTTCTTCTGTTCTTCTCCAGGAGCGTCTAGTAGAAGAAGACGACCCAGAAGAGTTGGCTCGCCAGCGCGGCATGGACGAGTACAAGGACGACCACCGCCGCGGCTGGGGCAACCGACACAACAGGAGTTAGGAACACCTTACTACATGGAATAAACTTTATTGTAATTGCATTTGAGTCGAAAATGGCAAGATTTAACAACCGGAGCTAAGAAACACTACTACACCTGATACTCTTGATTCATATAATTTAAAATGGCGGCAAAAGTTATCAACAGGAGCTAGGCAAACCTTACTACATGGAATAAACATATTTATTATTGTAATTGCATTTGAGTCGAAAATGGCGGCAAAGATGCGGCGGTGGTATTTTTTGGGGCTGCCATCTTTAAAATTTATTCAGTGACCTTGAAGGCTAAAGACATGGTATCTACCATGCAGCCTAAATGGTTGACGCTTAAGGTATGTCTTTATTTTACTGTATTCTCTTTGAGATTTATTTATACAATATACTCTTAACTAAATAGTATTATTAGTACACTGAACATAATTTTACACGACTGTTGTTAATAAGGAGATAGCGTCTCGTTTGTTTGTGTTTAAATTAACACATTGTCAAGGACTATACAGCCCGTACGTATTATTAACACTTACAAAAAATA